GTCGGCCTCTCCTATTATCTCTTTAACGCTGAAGGAAAGAAAGGGTCTCACCCTTTTTTTAAATTATCCTGTTTGTAATTTCTTTTCATTTTGGCTGAGTGTGTGTGCGCGTGTGTGTGAGCTATACATATTGACAATATATCAAGCCGTGGGGTGTTGTCCTGGGGTAGTGGGTGGGGGGTGTTGATTGGGATGGGGTCACGGGGGATTTTTGTTGGGGAACTATGCATAACTAGTGTCGTGCGTGGACAAAAATTATCACTTATGCATATATCTTTACATGTGTATGTGTGCATATATGCATATCAGCAAAGAAACAACAAAAAAAATAGTCAGGTACTCTGTTTCATAAAAAAAAAAACGTACTTACAATTTGCCTCAGCGATATATCAGTGATTAAAAAAAAAAAAAAAAAAAAAAAAGCATTAACTCTAGTGTGAGTGTGTCCAGTGAAAAAACCTTAGCACTTGAGTCTGACAAATAACACGTGTACAGTGTGGGTTTCATCGCTTCTATACCTTCTCTCTGCAGTTCTCCCTTCGCAAAAATGTGTGTTAACATTAGATGATGTCATGTTGCAGGTTCAACGTATTTATGTAAATAAAGGGTCAAAAAGAGGGAGGTGGGACAAACTGGGCAGGGGTCAATTTGCCAGCCATTACAAGGTTTATTTACTCACTAAATGAAGAAGCTTTTATGCAACATTTGAAGGATTGTACAGGTAAACAGACAAATCTGATGCTAAACGCGTGGGACCTTTGAAGGAGTTTAGTCGCTCATCCCTTAAAGAACGGAGCAGAGCCAGGACCACCCTTGATTTTTAAGAGCTACATTAGTGTAGTCAAGACAACAACAAAAAAACTAAACAAAAACAACTTCTCAATCTAGTGTTAACTATTCAGTATTAAGAAACTAAATGAAAAAAAATAAAAAAGCAAACAATTGTACGATACACTTGCTTATATTTTCATATGAAAGAATACAATGCAAAGCATTTTTGTGGCTTTTTGTAGTTTCTATAAGCCAGAATGTGTTTTTTGATAGCTTTGCTAATAAGAGATGGACAGTTCACCCAGAGGGAGGGAATCTGACTGGGCTTCGAAGCCCTCTGCCATGAAAAACAGACTGAGATCCAATGCTTTGCTAAACTGTTTTATCTTTGTAGAGGTTTGTTTTTAAACGTGTATTTCTAATTATATATAATAATGGTAATATTAAGAATTTAAAAAAAAAAATCTGTGAAATTAACATGCTTGTGTATAGCTTTCTAATATATAAATATATATAATAATGATTTTTTTTCTGTTGGTTTTAGTGGGGTTTTTATGTGCAGTTGCACATGTTGTCTGGTTTGTTTCCTCTGAGCCCTGAACAGTGCTGTTTGGGGGGTTGTACTTAGTCTCACCTTAAAAACCAGCTGGAACGCATTGCCAGAGTTTGTGTAATGCAGGGAAAATGAGAGAAGAGACAGGTCTGAATTCTGACAAAACAACCTGTTAGTGGAAAATAAGGACAAAAACAAACACTGACACGTGACGTACATGACTGTCACACTGATGAAGAAATATGACCCACCCCCGGGGTGCATATCTAGATGAACTTTAATGTCATCACATATTTCATTCTCCAGCCTGATTGTCTAATTTAATATAGTTAATCTTATAAGACATGTCTTTTGGACATTATTGAATCTCGGGTTCTTGCTTTAATCTTCGCCGTGATCTTGTCTCATGTACAGAATGTTGCATGAGGACCCAGTTAATCTATATAATTTCTTTTCAAACCATTTCTCATGTGATTTTGCTTTGCGAGTTCAAAGTCTGTTTCCAGAAAAGCTGGGACACTTGTTATAAATGTAATAAAAACTAAAAGCATTTAATGAAGAACTGCACCTAAAGCTGTATTTGACGGGGACAAAAGGAGGGGATTTGGGTGCTTTTGTATTTGCAAAACACGCTAAATGTTGTAGGTGAAGGAAAGTGTGCTGTGCCACATCCCCAGTTTTGGTCCTCTTTTTTTTTTTTTTTGTCGTTTTTTTTTTTTTTTTTTTTTTTTTTTTTTTTTTTTTTTTTTTTAATTATTTGGATGAGAGTAAGGACTACTAATTGGATGTCTTTCCTAAGAGGCTGGAGGTTTTGGTCACCATTGCCTGACACTCTTCTTCATGTGAAGCCATGATCAGATCTGGATTTCAGGCATGGCAACTTCCTGCCACCAAAGATGTTAGCAGATTAGGATGATGAGCCGAGACCATCTTTGTTTGCTTATGTCATGGTGCTGAGTTTCCATAATTTTCAGTTTTCTGTTTTAAAGTCCCTTTACTTGTTTGCTAAAGGTCAGACCACCAAACTACAGCTTTTGGTTTTATTGCAATTTTTCAAAGTGCTCCATCTTTTAGTGGAAATCTTCAACTTCAACTTTTCAGAACAGTGTTCCACCTCATGTGACAGTTCAGCTTCAGATACACCAGGGACAAATTGATCGTGCTGGTATGGGAGAAGCACAGTTGTTTATTTTCTATAAATAGCTGTTTGTTTTTCCTCTTTTTTTAAAAACAAACAAACAATGAAACTAGCCACATATCTCTCTGCCTCCCACTCCCATATCTGCTGTCACTTAAGTATTATAATATTTCTATATGTGCATAATTCATGCAGGTTCACTTTGTTGTTATTGTATACAGTCTGTGTAGTCAAACAGGGGCAGAGCCTCTACAACAGTGTTCTTTTTTTAAGATTCAGTACAAAAAGGCTGAGAAAAAAAAATGGATATATAAACTGTTTCCGACAGCGAAGGTGAGGAGAAACCAAAGCCAGTGGCATTTTCTATGTTGAAAACTCGACATTTATTTTCACAGTCATTTATGGTTTTTCTGAAACAACACAATAAAAAGGATTTGCTCAAATATACAATTGGTTTCACATTTCAATTCCAGAAGAGGCATCTTAGAAATTTAACCTCTAACCATAGGGTTTCACCTGCTTTTGTTTGCTCATCGTCTCCATGTGCGTTGCATTGTGAAGGTTATGGGCAAAAAAAAAAAAAAAAAAAAAAAAAAAAAAGTAAAGTAAAGTAAAAGCACATTGATTAAAGCACATCACTGCGTTATATTGCTGTACATGCTTTCTGATTTAAATGATGCCAACATGTCTGGATGGTTAACTAAAGTACAGGAGTTGATTTCTAACCAAAGACATGGGGTGAAAAAAAATCTGTCAATATTATATTTGATATTTTGTGTTTCTTTTATTTCTTATATTTCTGTGTGTGTTACAATGGAAGCCATTCTGTTTTCATCACCTGTTGATCAGTTGTTTCTTGTGACTATAATAAGAGACGAAAATGTTGGTACCTCACAATCTGACCCCAAGCAGTACCTCAGATGATGTTTTGATAAGAGTCACTTGTAGTGCAAAGGGGAGACCATAGACACCTGTACAGTCATGTGTAGAAACGTACCATTGCTAAGGGTCCCGGTTCTCACAGGGGGATTCTGTGTTGCTCTCCATAGTGTTTGTGGTTTATTTAAGTTGTATTCAAAAGTGAAAAAAAAAGATTTGAAAAAAAGAAAAAAAAAAGATTAATATGTGAAAATGCTTAAAAAGTCAGTCTGTAGTATCAATGTAGCTTGTATAAACCTGGAAATGGGGTGAGATTTTGGAGCTAATGTTTTCTGGAACACAAGAGCGCGGCTTTCAGCGGCAAAAGCTGGCCTTTGTCGCCACTTAAGACTAAGATGGTATTAAATTAAATCCACATCTCTGTAAACTCAAGGAACTTGATTCAGCTGTATGTAATGAAAACGTATGGGGATGGAAATTTAAAAAGTCTCCTCTGGAGGGAAAGGCTATTTGTATTTTGCAGAGATTTCAGTAAAGTTACTGGCTTTCTTAGTTATCCTGATGTGGCTCAGTGTGATTTTATTGTGTTTGACTCCTTTCTGCATGCATTTAAGAGAGAGAGAGAGAAAACATAAAACCCTTACAACATATATTTCTCACTGCAGGGGAGGAAAAAGACGAATGGTTTATGGTAGACTTTCATGAAAGCACAGAAGAGTAACAGCCCTGAAGAAATACAAATCACATGACACCCAAGCATTTACACTACATCAAATAAGACAATTTAACACAAAATATGTGAGGAATGATTTATTTAAGGCTTTATGTCACACTGGCGTCATCTTTCTCAAAGATACTGTACAGTATACACTCACATGTACGACAGGAAAAGAGATTTCATGGCGTCGCTCTGGTTAAAGAACAAAAACAAATTATTATGGCGCGGGAAAAAAATCATGTAGAACAGATGCAGAGATCTTTTCATGACGTCATACGTCTCCAAACGTCATTAAGACGCAAAAGCTGATTACTGTATATGAAAGGACACACCCACTGTTGTTTTACTGCGCTTCTCTCAAAGGGCCTTTGTGTACTACCTGCTGAAATACTTCAGCACAGACTAAGCATGTGTTTTTCATTAAAAAATAAACAATTTTAATCATAACCATAATCAAACATCAAACGACACTTCGACGACAAAATCATGTTTTCCTGCCAGCAGGTTTTTCTTTCACATAGTAATTCATATTAATTATTAATAATAATAATAAATTAAGCTTGTTATATTTTTCCCCGACAGCGTTTTGTGCGCTAAAAAATGTTTTAGCAATAAATTGTTTTTCCCTGATCCTCGACGATCGAGGACGGACAGCAAATGACGCGGATATAAAAATGTTTTCACTTCTCTTTGTTTTTACACTTATAGCCCTTTATATTAGATTAAATTAATT